ATGGGAAGGCACAACAGGCCTGGTATAGAATTTGCCATGCTAGAGGTTTGCTGCACATTATCTTAGATTTCCAGGATTTTGTTAAGATTGTGGAGGAGCTACAAAGAGTCAGATTACTCTGTCCCTGTGTAATGAAATGATCAGGGACAAAGCCTAAGATCCCTAAGGACTTTTCCTTCCTCAGACCTCCTACTGTGTGTGACCAGAGCCAATCTTCTTTCATTAAATCAGTTTTTATCTTACATGATAGACAGAGCCAGAGCTCCACGATAATTAAACCTGGAAATCTCAGCCCCTAACAGTGAAATGTAAAAATAACTTTATGGATTTTATCATGGAACCTCCAGAAGCTTGACTTGTTTTCATAACACTGGGGCTTGTCAGTCCTAGTCACAGGAAACTCCTCATCTGATTACCAAAACTCAGAGTAGGATACAGCCCTCACAGAGCCAGTGTATGATACTTTCAGTCACATGCAGGTTACTCGATAATGAGAAACCTACATTAATATGTCTACATGAAGCACTCTGCTGTCAAGCTAGTCAGTGAAGAACTATTCAATGCAGTCAATGGCACCTAGAGAAAGTCTTGGATCACCCTACAGTAGTCACTTATGCTTGATTTCACAGAGAGATACCTAAACTCATGTGTTTTGGTCTCACAAGTCTTAAACTATGAACAGAATTCTCCTCGCCTCTGTTAGTGCTTTAAAAAAGGGTAACTTTGAGGAACCTTAGTTCAGAGAATTACAGTGTCGGAAGATGAAGAACCCAACCCAGCCTCTGGAGTTTCACCTCTGTTTTCCCACTCCATTCCAGTCAACTTCCAAATGGAGAAAAAAGCTTATTTTTCCCTCTTTCTCTAATAGCCAAAATATCCTCAGTGTTTGAATACAGCAGACAAACAGATGGAGCATGGTCCTGAATTGCGTTCTCTGCCAGAACTGGGCAAATAGGTGTGAGGTAGGACGAGGTTATCCTGCTCAAGGGTGAGTATGCTAACACATTTGTTTCCCCCATATGAACAACCATCTGCTGAAGATGACACACAGGTGAAGTGCATAAGACCTTCCTTATTCTAGAAAGTTAGATCTTCTTCTCCTGTATACAAGATCTACATTTTCAGAAAGTAATTTCAGACTAACCTATTCACAGTGACACTCTGACAAGCCAGAAAAGTGAGACCATCTCATTTTATCATTGAAGAAGTAGTTTCTACTTCATTAAAGAGGAATAACAACATTCCTGACACTGGAGAGCAAAGCCAGAGAGCTCACAGACCTTTATCTTTTTACTGTCCCCTGTGTTTTGAGGGAAGCCAGATAAGAGGATTACCCCCTTCCCAGCACAGAAGGCAGTGTGATGCTTTCCTCACTGAGACTTTACCTCCTGGCACATTAGTGAGCAGGAGAACAGTAAGCTGGAGCTGAAGCAAGCACCTAGCAGAGCTTGAACGTGCAGGCTGTTCTCCTGTCTGGAAAGGTAGCTTACAGGCAAACATACAGACCTCCTTCCACTGCTATATGGCAGTGAGGGATTCATCCTGGGCAGACGTCAAGCCATGGCTTGTCTGTTGCTGCTTTCTCCTAGGTGTCATTCAGCAAAGGACTGCAAAGTTCTGCAGTGCTTTGAAGGGTCCGATAATCAAAGGCTACAGGATGAAATGCGAGAGTATACGGTGAACGAATGCGTCCCACAAGCTTCTCAGAAAACACTTGGCATAGTCTAGATCTTAATCAACTCCAGAATGGAAAAAGCAGCACAAGTGAAATGTCTCTCAATGCCTACAAATACCTAAATTCAAATTCAATTATAGAAGGAGGAGGGGAAAAGTAAAGAGCATTTTTTTCTCAGGCTCCAGAGCCAAGATCTGGGTGCTTTTGAAGTCATCCTACAAGGAAGAAAAGAAAAGGGTGAAGCTTACTGTGACCTAAATAAAGCAAAAGAATTAGGTACTTGTGATCAAAGAGTTGAACGATGCATATACACATCTCCCTAAATAATAGAGCAGGTGGGGAAATGACATGTCATTATTCCTCTGAAATAAAGTGAATTACCTGTTCTGAAAAGAGGAGTTAATCTGTTTTTACACAGTGAAGAATAATGCCACATTATTTCTTCTAAAATTAGCAGCTGACAAGCTGAGACTTCAGTGCTCATAGCATCTAGCTCTCTGGCACCACACAGCACTTGCCACAGTGAAGCTTTCCATTACTGTTTTTATAAGCTTTGGTGGGGAATAGCCATTTCCATAAAGGCCTATATCCACTGAGCTCCAGAACAGCAGTAGGCCTAAGCCATCTCAGAGTATCTTTCTTTCTAGAGAACCAATGTGTAGAAAACCTGATACTGACATTTCAAAAAATGCTGCAGAACTTTGAAGGGACTCAAAGTCCTCTTTCAGGGGCTTAATTGTACAGGAAAGACCTTTTCAACCAGTGCTGTATCCCTTCATTTGTTGTCTTCCAAACCAGAAGCAAACGTCTGACAATCTCATCCTAAAATTCTGCATTTTGACATTTCCAGTGTCCAAGGCAGGCAGCAAAGACTGAACTCCAAAAGCTCAGACTCATCTAAGAAAATAAGGAGTTTCTTTCTTCTCTTTTCTCAAACTCTGAGGTTTCAGTGTCTGAATAACTGATCACATACCCATAGTAATGGCTGCACAATTTATTTTGAAAAGGTAATGGTTATATTTTATCACATGAATGCATAGGAACAGCATAGAGACTTCTCAAAACTGTTCTGAGGAATTCCCCTCTGTTTGCTGTTCATGTTTAGAGTGACAGTATGAAGGGCTCAGCATTGATAAAGGAGGCATAGGAAGTTGAAAACCTGACAATTCATTTCCACCTGACCTGAGAGACAAAAATCACTGAGCTTATTTACCCCCTAGAGAGTTTCAACTAAATACCACTTCGATGGATTCACCAAACTTTCCTGACTCTCCTTTACTGATGCAGGGCCATGTTCATGTCCAAGTTAATGTATTCCCTAGCAACAGATTGGAAAGGAAATATAAGTTAAACTTTCCCCTACACATCCGAGGGAAGTGATAGGCAATATTATCTCTGTGTCTAAATATTAGAACTTCACTTTAGCTGATGTTTTTTACTTGACTGTGATGACACGGAGAATATGAAAGATAATAAATTCAGTCATTAAACCACGATTTGTCTTTACCCATTAGAGGAAAAGCCTCGGCAGTTTAAAGTCCATGACATGAAGTATCCAAGTCCATGTCTTAAGACCATGTTTCAACTTATTTTTTATCATACAAGTGAGGAACAAGAGCTTCCTCTGTGCTGGGAGAACCAAGACAAGCCACATTGTCCTCTGTGCTTGCTGTCCTGACTGCTGGGCTCCATGGCAGCACACTGCTGTTTGGGGGTTTGCGGGAAGGACACAGTCCTCTTATCTACTCAATAAATGGATTTTGTATTAATTGAAGAGCTCCTTGGAAAAAAAGCAAGAATTTATTCGAAGATGTTGCTTCCTCAAGAGAGGTTGGAGAGGTTAGCCTGCTCACAAGGGCATGTCAGCTAATGAGTGCTGGAGTTGAGAGCCTGAGACACATCAAAGCCACGTCTTCAAGTCCCCTTACCCATAGGCTTTTGTAGTGGATAAAGGCCCCATGTCAGGGAGGAAGGGCATCCTCTCCATCTGATCTAACAATGACTCCATGATAATGTCCCAGAGTTGAGCACCTACTGGTCTCTATCCAGGAAGTCAAGGCCTCAGAGGTAAACTCCATCTTCTTGAGGCTTCAGCAGCCCTCAATGATGAGCAGACATGAACTGTATTGAACTAGGGAGCCTTCTAAGGCAGTCTCTCCCACCAAGAAGGCAAAGCTGTCAGGACATGCTGCTCAAGAAGCAGCATCCAAGCAACAAGGTTGCCTGTGCTCAAAGTCACTATTTCAAGACAACAGATGACTAGGGTAAACTTGTGGTCTGTGACAGTAGAATCTGTGTATCCAGCTCAGCAGTTTTCATTTGTGGTTTCTTGAAGGCAGACCTTGTAACCCAGTGGCAGAAAAAAAAGCAGGCTATGCTTATCACTATATCATCCCTGGGAGCAACTTATATTTAGAAAGATTTACTCATGCACGTTTTGCAGCCTACTTGATTCTTCTTCTGTATGGAGCCTGGTGAAGTTCTACACTATCTACCTGCTGCAGGAAAGCAGTGAATTGTCAAACCTTCCTTTTGTTGTTAACAGCAAAAATTGCAGTCAAGACTGCCTTCAGTTTTATTTCTGCTACTTGTTCTGTAATGGTGTGTAAATTACATCAGGCTAATGAACAGTTCTACATTAAGTTTAAATGGTTTCAACTCACCTGCAGTCAGTGTTCTGCAGTACAACACTGGCAAGTGTGTAGTCTAAGGAAGAGATAGAATAGCACTCCCCTACTAACTACTCCACATATTTACGTGTCAACAAGAAAGCCAAACAGCTAACAAACAGCTCCATGAGTACAGATAATATATTTGTCAGCAGACAGAAAGCAGGACTGTCCACATCAAAGTATCTAAGCCTCCTTTTTCAGCACATAGATCTAAACTGTAACTTCTAAGGCTCACCTACTAGAGTGGGACACAATTACACTGATTGAGTATCTGAGGGCAACTTCCCATCACTGCCCTTTTACAAAGCACAGAAAACAACTTCCTTGAGAAAGCAAGAAAATTGGAATAAAGCACTGTTTCAATTATATTCGTAATGATTTAGTTGAAAATATGTTCTCATTAAACTGCTATCTAAGCACAACCCATTGTAAGGCAGAAACAGTTTGGTTCCAACAACTTTAAAGTCATTATTATAATTATTCTCACCAGAACAGCCATTAATCACATAAACAATACCCTCTTGCAGAAAATATGTGATAAGTAGCTATATTATGATTTACTATTATTTTTCTTACATTCTTTAACTCTTACTTGAATAGTTATTTTTTATGAAAATTTATTTGGAAAAGAATAGCAATAATAATACTCTTACCTTCAGATTGATGTGTGGCAAGAGGTGTCTGTGTCTCCTTGGAGTATGATACCACCTCCCGAGGTAAGAAATCAACCTGGGTAATCTTTGACACCCCTAGTTTGTGCAGCCTGCGTCTAAGATGGAATACATGACATCAAAAGGTTAGTCATGTTGAATGTACATCATCAGCAGCAACAAAAGTGTTTACTTTTATGAACTGGATAAAAAAATACTTCGATGTTTGCTAAGATGAAACACTATACACTATGCATGAGAAGTACTTAATTGCAGTGAACAAAATTAACCTAGGAACCACTTGGCATCATAGAGTTACTGAACCTCTAGATCATGCTGCTGAGAGGGATTGTAAATGGGAGAGAGAAATGACCTGTTTGTGCCCCTTATAACAACAAAAATCTCCTTTGTGCCATCATTACTACAATGTTCTGCCTGCTCAAAAGAGTTAGTTCTCAGTCTGAGATACACAATAGTGGAAAGGGCACAGTGAATGTAAACCAGGCTGGATTAGGACTGTCAGATGTTCACCTGAGAGCAATAATAGAGCCTTTAATTGGCAAGGTAGGTAATTTCCATAAAAAAGGAGATTCTCCATTCCACAGGAGTCATTAGTAGTGGAATTGGTATAGGTTTATGATTAGTAGAATCCTAATGCAAAGGCTGAAGAGGAGCTCCAAGACACAGCTGGAACAGGGTGAGTATAGCCTTCTTTTTCTACTTCTTCCCTTACTTCAAATAATCCATACAAAATAATTCAGTAAAGTCAACTAACTGTGATTGGCTAAGGGAAAAAGAAGAAAGACAGCTGAACACAGTCATGAACACTCTTAGTCATACACAGTTCACCCAACAGTGTGGGGGAAAAAGTCAATTTATTTCCTGACTATTATTTGACTGTAGTGAGGGAAGAATAAACAAATTACTACTTTCAAGTCTTTTACTCAAAAAAAGTCAACTTTCAGCAGAGAAAAGAGTTTCTTATTATGTGCACATCCCCATTATTATGTGTACATCTTATGCACATAATAACAAATCAACTATATAAGTCCAGTTGCCTACATCAACAATTGCAAACATGCTTATACGTTTATGGATAACAAAATCATGGATACAGTGTTTCTGAACTGCCATGTCATAGAGAAAGCAATTTGGAAAAGTAGAAAATTCATACACATTATCCATATTTGCTCTATTTTACAGACTGTCTGAAGAACAGAGGTCAAAGGGATTTTGATCTAATTAATTTACAATGGTTTAGGTATTCAATTAAGATTGATATCTGTAAAGGAAATGGGTGTCTCAAAAGGAAATTGTTATCCCTGGGTGACACCTACTGAATTCTTCAGCTGCATTAATGCTACATCAGCTATATATGGCTATAATCTATCTTACATGCCGAGTTAAAATTAATTCAACCAGATGCAGCAGGTAATCAGTATAAATCAACTGTATCACATAACAAACCACTAAAACAGAAATAGTTGTTATAGGTCTGAGTCTTCTAAGACTCTCCTAACCATCTGTGACTTTGCCAAAATGAAGAAAAGCTATGACTGTTTGAAAATCCTACAGAAAAAACTTCTACACTATTACCTGGGACAGAAAAATTTCTACAGCTTGTGTTATACTTCACCTAACAAAATTTTTAGTAGCGCTACATTTCTGTAGCTGCTTTAACTGAGGTTTTATGTGAATTCAAGCTTTGATAAATACTTCACCCCAGCAAAATCTTACATGCTTTTCCCTCCTTCAGCACCAGATATGCAATCTCTGTGGCCTACCTGTGCAGTTAGACTTTCCTGTGTAACCAGTCCCCTGCTGTCCCAGGCTACTGGTTCCATTTACTGAGATTCTTAAGTCTTCGGCATTGAAAGAGCTTCTTAACAGTGGTCTTCGTTAAGTGTAATCTCTAATTAATTATGTGTCTAATCTGTGCCTAATTAGAGCCTCACCTAATTCTAACAACAGTTTCACGTGAAGTCACTCCCTATCTCCTCAACTGCTTGAGGATGTGGAACATCAATTCTACTAGACAGCTGGATTTAACTGCTAGTTGGGTTAACCTCTTTGTAGACTGCTAACCAAGAAGTGAGCTATATCCCAGAGCACTGTGCTGAGAAAATGTGTGGAATTTTTCACCTAAAACATTTCTAATTCAGGAATTCCTGGTGCCTGTACAAATGCCTGGTGTTACCCATATCCTGATAAATACCAGTAAAGACAGGAAGACCTTTCTTCATCTGAAGGAATGTGTTCTCTTAGGTTTTTTTTGTCCGTGTTAAGGAACCTGTAATGGTTCTTGCATAACTAGAAGTTGGCCTAGCCCTTGGTCCCAAGGACTTAGGGACAACCGGAGCATCCTATCTGGACTCTACCAAATATGGACTGTAATGTCCCAGTCTCTAATTCTTTTTAGGGCAGCACTAAACTGTCTATTGCTTTCCCATCCCCATTTTTCATCTGAGGTGATCATAATTCTTATAATTTACAGTTTGATGAATATTCATCCTGGAGAGCATATAAGCTTTCAAAACTGCCTATGGGATGTCAGTAGGACTGTAACTAAAGTCCATGCATTAAAACTGATTCCTCTGTCTGTAGGTACCTGAAGAAAGACGCATGTGCTAGAATTGCTTTGCTACACACATAATTTAATTACTGAATGCAGGATTTATTTCGCATTGGTAATTTTATTTTTTAATCTAGTCCCATGACACCAGGGGAAAGTCTGGTCCTCTCTCTAATTCTGCCTTGGTTTTGAGGACAGCTTTCTTTCTAATGGGGTAGGACTTCTACTACAGAGTATACTTGTGGATTTACTCCTTGGCATGCTGCTTTGCTGTCTTTGCACTGACTGCTCAACACAGGATAATCTTGCTGCAAGTCAAATAAAGGAACTTGCCTTGCATAGCTGTTTGAGGAACCTTGCTCCTGGGAGTGGTCATCTTTTAATTCAAACTACTGGGAAAGGGCAGATGAGATTTCTAAAAGGTTTCTGTGTATTAAAACAGCTCAAAAAACTCTACCTTTCTGGTTTGGTCCAGGTAAAGTTCTAGAAGTTACATCTATTTGAAGGCACACTCTGGTGAACATTACAAACATTCCTAAAATTTCTGGTTGTGAAGAAACTCTGTTTAGAAAGCTGTCTGGATACTTTCCACTCCCTCCGATCTTTCCTGGCGAATAGACCTAACATCCCTAACTGCACCTGGGAGCACTGTCAATTAGTAAAAGGAAATGGTTGTTTTTCTTATAGAATGGTGAATGAATTTCACATGAACCAGTAAAAGCACAAGATGCTTGCCTGCAGACTCAGAGAGGCAAGCTCTTAAGTTCATAGGTAAATTTCTTCAACAAAGAGATTTGGTTTTGCCTATGACTCAAGTTCTGAAGAATGTGAGAGACTTCCACCTATCTTTTTTAGGGGAACAGTTTATCCTAAATACCTCTGCAGGTAGGCATTTATAAATTATTTAACTATTTATTTCAGATGCTTGGGGTAGAGAAGTTCCATCCCAAACTAGAAAATACTGATTTATCTATCTGTAGTACAATTTAAAAAAACACTTGATTGGACTGAACTCAATTAAGATGGCAATTACTCTTGCAGTATGATCATATTTAAGTGCACAATTATAAGCACATATACAGGTCCTAAGGAAAAAGGGGAAATTGTTACTACATGTGGGAACAGCATAACTATGGCAGACAGGAAGGAGGGGGAAAAGTAGCTTGCAGATGATTCAGAGAGAAAAGTCTGAATCAACAGGTACAAACCAATGTAACTGTACATGCACATAAGTGCCACAATAATAACATTTCATCTGTTATGAAATAGTTATTTCTATTGTGTTTCTGGCAACAGAAAGAGCAGCTTATCTTTTCACGAGCTTCTTTAAATAGTTGGGTTTTCCCCACAAATATGGCTTTGCTGAAGCTTCTTATTGATTAAAAAAAAGGAAACTTAAATTATGGTCTTCTTGAGCCAACAACGCAAATGAAAATCACATAAAACCAGCTCAACCGGGAAGCATTTTCAACATAATTATTGCAAAGAAATGATAAGTGAGTAACAAAAAGAGCTGACATATACCCAAGTTCAGAGTCAGACTGGAGCTGCAGCACTGAGGGGTCTGTGTCCCATTGCAAGGTCCTAGGGTGGTAATCAGCCGTGCAGCACAAAGGGGAAGGGGAAAAAAGAACACACAGAATTAACTGAAAGGATGAACAAAACCCCATTTCACTAGTTACATGCTCTATGTGGTACGTTTAACCTCCAAGTGCAAGGGGCAGCCACAGTATGTTAAACAAGGTTTGTATGTCAAACTTTGACAGGGCAGGCAATTTATTAAACTTACAGTTTATTGGTAATAAAAGGGAAGAAGCTGTGTTTCCTTTCAAATATTAATGCAACTTTTTTTTTCCTTTTTCAGAAAGATTTCTAACTCTTTAACTATGGTTGATGCATTCACAATATTCTGTAAAATCTGCAGGCACAATTTATTGTAATCGTGTTTTTATGATAAGGTGTAATTGCCATGAACCCCACTGAAGAGTCTAGCCCTTTGCATGGTAAGCCATCCTGTAAAACAGTGCTCTGGGCACGAACATCACATAGTGCATATGCCAACAAATGGCATACTGACACAAGATTGACATCTTCTGGGTGCATCTAGGACAAATAAACAAATTCTTCTTCTTTTCCTCCAGGTAAAATTTCTAGGGAAGAGGGGAATGATACATCTGTGGAAGATCTATGACAGTCTTTTAATAATGGACTGCTGTCATATGAGACTGTCACCAAATGCATGAATGCTCCAGAGGTGTATTCTGAAGTGATGTTCCTTCCGTTGCAGTGCAACTTGCCATGCTACCATTTCTGAAACATTTTGCAGACACTCTCAGAGCCTTTCTGGAGTCCTGTGAAATACTTATAAACCCCTTAGTTTAGAAATACACAAACTGACATATTGAGGCCAATGTTTCCAAAAGTGCCCACTCTCAATTTTACTCTAACTCCCCTGGGAAGCCACATCTCGTATGCAAGAAAATCGCCAGAATCTGTGACAGAATCAGGAATAGAAGTTTGGCTCCTGAGTACCTTTTCCAGTAGTATGAACACTAGATTATGCATTGCTCTCACTATCAGAGGCAAAGGAAAACACTCCTGCACTGAAGCGAGCAAGTCATGCAGACACGCTGATAGTCCTCAGAATTAAAAATGCCCCTTATTTCTTCTGAATACAAATTTTAAGGATGCAGAGAACATAATATTATCAGGTTCAGCCAAAACCAGCCATGTAACCAGTCATACTCAATTTACACAAGCCTTTCTGCAACTATAGCAACCTCTGCCAACGAATCACGCATCTAAACTAGCAAGTTATTGAATTATGGTAGAAATAGATCTCTTAAAGCCATATAATTATGCTACTTCCTGTATTTAGTAAACTCACCCCTTCTATTACCAGTGTTAACTCACTCTCTGTAGAGACAGACAAGGGCACGTGCTGCACTCTGTTGTGTCAGAGTTAAAGAGAACCAATCTCAATATCCTTTTGTACGTACAAAAGTAATGAAGAATTGTAATTCGAAGGTGCTTTCTCATGCAGTGTAGGGGCACTTATTCCCCTCAACTTCTTATGATCCATGGTGATGTGTATTGGCATGAAAGACTTTACAACGCTACAGAAAGGATTCTCCAGAAAGGGTCAGAGACAGAACAACAACGTAATAAAGAACAGATTTTTTCATTGTAACTTAACCGTTGCTCAAGTACAGTGCAAAGTGGACATAAGGATCTGCATGCCTGATGCCAGGCAAAGGCGTCAGTGACTAATGCATTATAGGTACTCCATTAAAAATGCTATCTGTGTGAAAATTACGCTTGTAATGTCACCAAGGTCAGTAGCATATATTGGGACTTGCTATATAAATGCCAGTTTCTAATCTTACAGGTACAGAGGGGCTACTTACACATACATATCCAGGTTTTCCAAACACTTAAAAGAAAACATACATAACTAATTTCTCATCCACTTTCAAACCTACAGAATTCCCCAAGGTATAAAGACTGTTCTGCCAGAAAGAACTCAATTATCATCTGATTAAAACAGGAGCTTGCAACAGGTCTCTAAAGAGGTACAGCCCTTACATTCCACCTCAAAGAATCTAGACCAGGTTACAAGAGAGAGTAAATTCATTTAGCTGAATGCCTAAACAAAATAAATTTTGAGGTCTCACACTCTCAAGATAGCACTCAAATCCCCAAAATATGAGAATATAAACCTACAGAACCTATGGTTGGGGGCTATCATTTATTACATGCAGACTATACATTTTAATAGCAATTCTCCATGACTCCTGAGTACACCTGTTTTCAACGGGTTTAGTGCATCTGCAAAATATTTCCTACATTTGTGCTCCAGATGCTAATTGTTCTCTCTGCCATCGTGCTACCACTTGCAAAGGCTTGAAAAATAGATAAGGAAGTAATCTGCTGTGTTGTCATCTCAATCTTGGCTGAGCAATGTTATTACAGAAAATGAGGCTGCAGGTAGCAGATTTTCAGGTTTCAAGTCTCTTGCGCTGGGAGAAACAGAACGCAAGTGGTTACACTTACACACTGGAGACTGGAGAGCACAGGGAGTGACTGTGTTTCAAGAAAGAATATTGATTTGCCCTCTGCCTCTACCTGACACCTGAAGAATGTCTGCAGATCAAAATGAAAGTGAGTGAACAGCAAAGATGCAATCTGGACCTGCAGTTTAGCCAGTTTCCATGACAATAATGCTGGAGAAGAAATAGATTCTTTGAGGATTAGCAACCAAAAGACAATGTTGAATAGCCTGTGCTGTCATCCAGACTAGGAAATTAAAGGCAATCTGTTTGTGATGAGCAGACATAGTGTATGACATTCCTTGATCATCTGGATGAGCACCACAGTTATGCTTGCTCTCCTATGGACAGTTCTCAGTGGGGATTGTGAAATGCTATTGGATCTCAGTGAAAAAGTGGTGCCAGTATTTTCCAAACCTAGTGCAGGAGCTCTTTCTCCACAGAGTTCTTCAGCAAGAAAAGGATTAGCTGCTTTCCTCTTTTTGACTTTCTTCTTCATGAAAGAAAACTGATATTAGCTTTCGGACTTCTAGTCACCCAAAGACAGGGGCAGATGGAATAACATTACAGACCCTGAAGGCAAGTGCATGGCATAGGAAAAAGAACTTCTTGACCGGTAGATCTGCAGTTAGGCAGACATGCTCCCACTCTGGGCCCTTTCAGAAAGCACAAGTTGAAAGTCCCTCTAAATGGATTCAGTGGATTTTGTCACAGACCTACATAGAAGAGCTAAAAGTATTTCACTTTAACATTTTTACGGGCAAAAGCAGGGAAACGTAGTGCTCCCTTGCACTTTCCAGTCCTTCCACAACTCTCCTGCAGACCATCTGAGCTGAGACTCCTCCAGTGGGGAAAGTGAGTGCATGTGGCATGGGAGGGGACCTTGGAAACTCACTTAGCAAAAGCAGCACCATCAGGACTGAGCTGATCAGCCTGTTCCCACCACCCACATAGCACAGACACCGCCTTAATCATAACTACCCAACAGTGTTTCAAAGCTTGTTGCTCTATGAGTCTCCCACATAACGCCAAACAATAGCCCTGATATCAATCTTCCTTTTACACATGTGGTGCACAATGGCTGCCCTTGGCTGAGTGTACGGTAAAAAGCTGTAACTATTATCGAATAACAGATTGTTCTAAGGCAGCATGAAGGGAATGAGGGCTTCTAGATCATGCATTAAGTAGACAAGGTATTTAGGACAGTATTAATGCTGGTGCTGTTTCATCTTTTAGTACTGAAGAAGTACCAGATAAGTTTGACACAAAGCATTTTTTTTCTCCAGTCAGAGGGGAATAACCTAGAGAAAGAAACCAATGGGAGAAAGAGACACAGATGTTATACATTTATTAAAGCATTGGAAGGTAAAGCAGCTTACTAGATTTTTCTGTTCTGAATTCCTGCCCAAAGCATTAGGGAGATACTCAGACCACAGTTTTAGGAGGACAGAGGCCATTGCAAAATTTGAAGCTGGAGGTGGAAGGAATCTGAACAGAAGCATTCCCTTTTCTGTATTATTATTACCATGGAAAACCAGGCACTATGCCATTTGTTACGATGGCCTATGGAACCTTACTTCCAGAAGATTTTATTCTGATTGCATAATGTCAATTATGTAGGTTAAAAATGTGGAAAAGACTAAAATAAATAAACGAAAATTAAAATAAAATACTTGAACTCTTTTGTAATGTTTCCAGCCTCAGAACGCATTAATGAACCATGGAGCCTGTCATCTAAAACCATCTGGAATCCATGAGAACTTCTCAGCTGATTTAAGCAACTTTGGGTCTGGCCTCAGTGACAGTACATGAAACACATAAGGCATCAGTGCCAACACATATACTTATTAAGTCACCATCATAAAATGATATTTAATATCTGGAATCTTGATCAGATTGCAGTACAACTTGGGTCTGGTAAGTAAGTGCCCCAATCCAACACTTTTCATTCAACCAGTGTGCAACATGCTGGCAGCTTAGTTCTGAGTTTGCCTTTTTGAAGCTAAAATCAAATACTCTCTCATCTGTTGCTGATGCTGTAGAACATGCGTTCTGCATGACTTCTTTTTTCCTCCCACTCTCCCTTCCCAGGTCAAAACATCCAGGCCTGGAAATCCACTCTTTTGGAAAAGGCTACTCACAGCAATAAAAGCCAACCCTGCTTTCCCAAGGAGCCTCTTGCAGGGTAGGAATGTCTTTGCAGCATTGCAAATCACACCTTCAAGCAGAACTGGAGGAAAGCAAACACGACATTCTGGCACCTCCTGTCACCAGAAGCTGTTGTGCTTTCCAGACCAGGAGAAAACCACACTGACAGTGTACTAAGTCTTGAGGTACCTGCTGAACTGAGATATCTGTATGTGTCCCACATGAAACACTGTGAGACCTGACGGGTCCCAAACCCAGAATCTTCCCTTGCAGCAATGTCCTAAAATGACCCTTTGTGTGGGAAATATGCCACTTCTATGCCCTTCCAAACCTAAATTACAGTGAAGGAGTGTGTCATGACTCCACAGATTAAGCTACGCCTAGGTT